AATACTGAGCATTCAAATCAATGTGTTCCTGTAAATGTCAGTCAGGCTCATTTGTTCTAGAGTTCTGTTTAAGTCCATTATTTCTTTGTTTATTTTCTGTCTGGAGGATCTGTCCTGTGCTGTCTGTGGGTGTTAAAGTCTCCGACTATTATGGTGGTGTTGTTTATCCATTTGTATACCATGGAGTACTATTCAGCTTTAGGAAACAATGGTTATATAGTATCTTTTGTATTTTCCTGGATAGTACCCCCATAATATGCTAAAATAAAAAATCGAATTAAGGATCTAAACACCAAAAAATGAAAAACAAATCAATCTATTCCTTTTTTAAGGTCTGAGCGATCCTAGCTTACATATGCATTACATGTGAACTTTGAGACCAGTAAAATTATTCACTCTGACCCTGCTTGCAAAAAACTAATCCACATCTCATTTTATATAACCATTTTTTCCCCAAATAAAAAATCATCTGATTGGCTCTCAGAACCTCACTTTTACTCAAGCCTTTAAATGAGTTGATTTCCTATCTAGACTTTTGGCATCACCTCTGTTTCCATAAAGATATCGGACAAAGAAAAGGGAAAGACTTCTTTTGCCAAAGGCTATGGAACCACAGAGTTTGAAAGTTCAACCTCTGCTTTTTCCTACTTTTTTTTTTGGTACAGGCTCAATTAGGGGACTCAAAAACAAAAGCAAAACCCCAAGGCTCATTGTATGCCTCAGTTTTGCACCAGTTTTTTGTTCCATCCTAAGCCCAGTCGTTCTTTTTTCACAGTTGAAGATTTGCAAGCTGTCACTTTTTAATAAGTGCACCGTCCATACAGCCATTTTTAGATAAATCACCCACCCCAACCATTTCTTTTCCCCAAACGGAAGCTTATTTTCTGTTTGATTTCTTTTTTCTTCTTGCAGAAGAATCCTATTCCTGAGCTGATAAGTAAAAGAAAGTGCAATATGTTTTTGCATCACAATAAGGCAGGAACAAAGAGAGGATGAAGTATATTTTTAAAGGAAGGAATGATGAGGTTAAAGGAACTAGATCAGTCCATTGAGGTGTCTGATGACTTGTACCTCAAGGATCTCTGTGCATGGCTCAGCCTTGCGTGGCTTTGTTATCGCGTCCATATTCCCCCCTCACTGCAACTCTTCTTGCAGTGAGAAGAGATGGGGCAAAGCAATTATTTGTCAATTCCCTCACTACCGTTCCATTTCTGCCATGGCTGGCTCTTCCAAGGCTGACTACTCACTGCTAGAATGGACTCCTTTTTTCTGTTATTATTCTTGCAAAAGAACCATAGAATTTGAAAGTTCACCTTCTGTTTTTACCTACTTTTTTTTTTATAGGCTCAGTTAGGGTACTCAACAACAAAACCAGAAGCAAAATCCCAAGGCTCATTGTATGCCTTAGCTTTGCACCAGTTTTTTGCCACTTCCTAAGCCCAATTGTTGAAGGTTCTAGGCCACGAGAACTGAATTAACTCTGAGAAAATTACTACGAACAGTCAGTTAGCTTTTTTAAATGTGAGGGTTCCTTTTTCATAGGAGCATGGAATTCTAAAGCCACACGATATTTAGAGATCTTCTCTTCCAACCACCTCATTTTATGGATAGATTTCCAGAGAAATTGAAGGCTTTCCCCAAGGTTATTGGTAATACCGGGACTAGTGCCCAGTTGTCCTCATTCTATTCTTCTCATTACATTTGATTTAATTCCAGAATCTAGATTACAATTAAAGGCACAGACATATTAAAGTTAATCATTAACCTCTAAAGTGGCAGATTGAGTTTTAACAGAGAGAACACTAAAATTCTCTGTAGGGATAATAAGGGGGCAAGCAGGAAAGAATAAAACTGCTCAAGAATAAAACAGCTTCCCAGCTTCTTGCTTTTGGTGGAAATACAGCTAACAAGAAAGTTTATTCCAAGGCATGCAAATTTAAAGAAAAGGGTTTGACAGAAAAGCAGGGAATGATTGTCAAAGCTAACCTGGAAAAATTTCCACTGCATCATTCTGAGTGACTCCAGAACAAAGAAACACAATGTCATTAACAAAAGAAGGAGGGAGTCGAAGGGCTGAGTGCTTTTGAACTTAAAACATTTCCTTTCTTCCTTGTAGGTTTATAAACATGATTTTAGAAGTGGAAATTTCTTACAGAACAACACAGGATTTTTGCTTTATTCCTGTAACAATAATGCTGAATTTAAATAACTCTAATCTTCAAATAGGCCAGAGTACCTTGCAGACATTTTTGAGTTGTTTGATCACTTCCTCCTTGCAAAGTCCCTCTGTATGGCTCAGCTCTGCATGAGTTTTTTCTTTTTTCCCATATTTCTTTCTCACTGCCACCTTTTCTTATGGTATGAAAGGATGGGAAAAGCAACTTTAGTCATTTCCCTCACCACTTCTTTGGAAAGTAGGGGTTAGAAGTTGGGAAACAACAGTTGTGAGTAAGGGTGGTGGCCCAGAAGTGTGGAGTTGTGAAAATATTGATTACTTGGAACTTTTTTTTTCCCCCAAAGGAAAAAATTTAGGTCCCCAAATACAGGAAATTATTTAAGGTTGAATGGTCGAGTTGATAGAAGGGAGGTAGCATTAGTAGTCACAGACAAGTCCAGATATTCCAGAGGTTGTTGGAGGAACATGTACCCCCTTTTTCTATAATTTTTCCCCAGGATCTGGAGCATGCAGTCCTCAAGTATAGAACTTTTTGGAGGTGCCCTCCTTGCATCACTAATCCTGTCCCTTCCCTGCCACCGTAACAGAGGAAATGGCCTGAAAAAAATGGCAAAAATATTTTCTATCTCTTTAAAACTTCCCCCACTCATTCTGGGAACTGTGGCCTGGCCTGCATCCCTGGGGCAGGGAGAAGATCTTTTGTTCTTTATGTTATAGGAGATGGCTCAGCCATCCCAGGCTGGGGCCAGCCCTCCAGGTGGGCCCAGGTGGGCAGAGGTCACAGGCTTTGTTTTTGGCAGAGATGGGATGCTTAGAATCATTAACACAGAGGCCTAGAACTGAGGGCCCTCCTTTTAAAAGCTCTGTGTTTCTGCTTATGTTCATTTTGAGAAGATAGTCTGCCATTTTTATTCCTTTGCCAGCAAAATAATAAAGTTCTCTTTTCTTCTCCTCAAACCACTTGTTCATGTTCTTCTCAAGCAGCCTCAGGAACAAGTGCTGAGCTTTTGGTAACACCATCTACCCTTCCTCCATTGCTCCCTCTCTCCTTCCTTCTGTTCCTCTTTGCTTTCTTCTTTCCTTTCTTCCTTTATTGAATCTTCCTTCGTCTCTAAGATTGTTGGGTGTCCGTTTTAATGTGTGTGGGCCCTTTTGATTTTATTTTGAATAGTATTTAAGTAAAAATTTAATAATAACACAACAGTGTTAATTCTAGCTACCTTTTGTTTTTATTTAAACATGTTTCTAAGGGCTTTCTATATATTTAATTGCCACCACAAAAGTACTAGTAACTGTTCTTTCCTTCATTTTGCAAATGAGGCAATAGAGGTTAGAGGGGTTAAATAACTTATGTTATTTCTGTCAAAGAGGCAGTAATTGGATGAGCTGAAATTTCTGATTAGAAAGCCCATTTTCTAGATTTTATTTTGCTATCAACAGCTATCCCCTTCCTCTGTTTCCTCCACATTATCTCCAAAGCCCTTGGACCTCAAATCCCTGCCCTCTATGTGATTTCCACATTTTAGCATCAACGTTTCTAGGGAAGAAGCATGCGGTTGGATTGTATTTTCCTTTAACAATAAAGGTGGAACTGCACTTGTGTCTATGTGTTAAGGGTTAGCAGCACAAAGGAAGATATGCCTTGGTTAATTGGAGTGTGAGATTCCAGAAGGTATGTTAGAGCAAAACAAGAGACATGAATTCATTCAATTTATTCCACAGACAGTAATTGTTGGCGAGTCTGTAGCTTTCAGAAAAGAAAGGGCTCCACTTGAAAAGAAAACCACCCAAACAATCCTCCTCATTCTTACTTCCAGGTGCTTATAAAGTAAGTTTTGTCTCAAAATACTTTGATTTTTTAAATGGAGAAGACTCTAAGTGTCAAGGGGTCCTGCATCAACAGCTGTGATAGTAGCTCAGTCTTCTATTTATTCTCAGAAGGGGAATAAAACACGTTAGAATAAAGACTTTAACCACCCCCTGCCACACACCCACCCTTCCAACCCTCCTCCCTTGCTTTCTTCCTGCCCGGCCCCACCATCTGAATGCCTTTACCCTGATTATGTAGACAGCCTGAGAGAGACTTGGAGGTAGCCACGGTCAAGTGTTCTGTTTAGTAAAAGCTCAGCTTAGCTTTCTCTTTGTCAATATTTCTCTAAGTGAAAAAAGAAGCACATGTAAACAGAAACACATCTCTTGTGCTTCCTCAGTGGTTGTTTTGTTTATCTTTGGCAGTTGCTATGATTCTACCTGGAGTCTTCCCTGCACGTCACAAGTCCTGTGTTTGAACCCTTAATCTCTGGGACCCGCAAAGCAGCAGGAGTTTGCTGGGTCAATATTGAAATGTATTGGAAGTAGAGGTCATGACCACTATTGGCAGGGGCAGATGTAAATGAAAGAGAATCCATCAAGTTTAATTTTATTTTAGATTTTAGATGGAATTCTACCACTGATTCCAAAGGTTAGGAGGCCAGGGCTAGCTCCCATGCCTGCTGGTCTTTATGGAAAGAATGTTAATTAGAATAGCAATGTGAAAATGACAGCTGTGCTATTTGCCCAGCTGTAGGTAGGATATAATTGATGATAATAATCACGATTTATTGAGTACCTACTCTATATTAGGTTTTACAAATATTTCTTTAAATATTCACAACAATTCTATGAGGTAGGTAATCTTTTATATGTAAGGAAACTGAGGCTCAGAATGTTTGGAATGTTTCCCCAAAGACATGTAGCAAGGACTGGGATGCAAAAGCCCATGAATGCTCTTTCAATTTGATGCACTGTATGTATTATATGTGACATAGTATTTTCTATCCTTTAGGAAGAACTGTAACCTGTGGAATATGAATACGTCTTGGACACTGGCAGAAGTAGGAAATAGCCAAGGGCTCAGCATTATTACAGTACGTGGAAAATTAGCCCTGGAATACTACAAGGGAAACTGAGTAAGTAATGCTTTGCAAAAAGTCATTAAAAGACTTTGGAAGAAGAATGCTTATGGTATTCACAAGTGACAGTGACTTTGGAGATAGACACTTAAAAGTCATGAGTGAGAGATCCAGAATTTATTAAGCAGAGAAATGGGATACACCTTCAATATCAGTAACCACGAGAAGACTGGAAAGCATCCATTACAACAAGAGATAGGGAATAGGAAGAAAATTTCACGAGACTAAATTGTTATAGTGGATCAAACCTGAGGGCATATAGTTTAGGACTGAATTTCTGATAGTGGTACAAGGGTGCATAATGACAGGAATTATGCACCCTTAAAATATTAGGAATTCTTCCCAGGTAAGTTCCAATTTCTTTAAGCAATGCATCCTTTTAAAAAATTAACAAGTTGAAAAATATTTAAGGCAATATTCATGGTATTGAGAAAAAGTCAAACAGTGCAGATGGATATAGGTGAAACGTAAAAATCTCTATTTCTATCCCTTTTTCCCTAGACATACCTCTCAGATATATTCATCTTTAATAGTTTTCTATGTTTATGCCAGAATTATTTCATACATATGTTAGCAAATATATGTATATGTGGGACTTATGATTGATTTCTCTCCTAATTACTGGGGAGAATGCACCCAGAGGGGAGAAAAAACTATGTAGGGGATGCAATCTAACGTCTTTTTGACCATGATAACTAGACTTCTAGGCAAATAGGCTAATGATACTTGTTGGCTAGGGAGTTATTATCTGTAGAATGAGTTGAGTAGGATATCCCTGGATTAGGATTGCTTATGGTAAACAAATTTATAGTCTATGGATTTATGAGATATGACTCTCTGGAGAATGTCAGGTGAATTATATGACTCTATAAAATGGAAAAGGTGTTTCTTAACTGAAAATCTACTTGCTGTGTAAGATGAGCCATGAAACACATTACAGAACTCATTCTGCTCCAGAGACATCATACCTGATAAGTGAATGAATCACACTGTTTGTATGTAGCATAATTAATTAAACTAGTACCCTATTAAGGGAGCTTTATGTTATTTTGTTTTGATTTGCTATTATAAACAATGTTGCATTAGATACCTCTATAAATATATAGCTATATATTTGTTTAAGTTTATTTGTAAGATAAAGATAACACTAAGTCAAAGGTTATCTTCACCTTAAGTTCTTTTATTTAATTTTTGTGATGGAAATTTTCAAACACATGTGTACTAGAGAGAGGAGTACAATAAAATCCCAAGTAGCCAGATCCCAACTTTAATTAGTATTTATATACGACCAATTTTTTTGCATCCCTATTTTCATCTACTTTATTCTTTTCTCCCACCACACACATACAAGATTATTATAAAGCCAACCCCAGACCTGGCATCATTTTATCCGTAAAAACTTTAGTATATATTTCTAAAACCGAAGGAATCTAAGGAATATCTCTCTTTAAAAATGACTATAATTTCATTATCATATCCAAAAAAATTAACACTGATTCATTAATATTAATAAGTCAATGTTTAAATTCCCATATTTGTATCAAATATTTTTTTATTGATTTGTTTGGATCAGGATCCAAATAAAAACTGTACATTGTGCATGGTTGATTTATATGTCTTCAGTCTCTTTTATTCTGATTACTTATGTCTCTTCCCTCTTTTATTTCTTGCCATTTACTTTTTGAAGAAACTATGTCTTTTTCCTGTAAAATTTCCCACATTTTAGATGTTGGTGCAAGCATCCTTGCAGTTGCTTAACATTTTCTTCTCCTATATTTCTGGTAAAATAGCAGTTAGAGCTAGAGGCTTGATCAGATTCAGGTTCAAGTTTTTATTAAGACATTGGATGATGCTGTGTACTTCCTGTTACATCACATTGGGAGGCATATGTTATCTGTTTGACTCTTTTCTATAATGTTAGGTTTGTATTTTCACATTGATCCACCCATTATAAAATCCCCAATTGATGTTTCAGCTAATATTTTAGTAAGCACTATGATTATCCTTAGACCCATATTTAAATTAGGACTTCCAAAATGTCGGCATGCTAATCCTATCATTCTTTCTGCTTTATTAATTGAAATATTTCCATAAAGAAAAACTTCTCCTACATCTATTAATATTTGTCTACTTTGCAGGAAAATTCATACAAAGAAGAGTAGGATAAATGCTCCATATTTTCTTTTGTCTATTAGTTTCAGACCAATGAGTGGTTCTGCTAGCATTCTCTAAAGGTGACAGATGTGCATTTTAAAAAGTATTATTATGAAATTATTTTTCTAAACATATTCTATGTAGTTCAACCCATTGCAGTTTTTATTCTTTCTGATGTTCAAATTGAATTTGCTTCTGAGTTCTGCTGGTACAGCCTCAATAATCCTTTATAGCTTTTTTATTTTCTAGTACAACAAGGTTTTCTAGGCTTTTGTGTACATTTTCTGCCCTATGCCCAGGATCAGCTGTAGTCCTGTTCTTTCTTAGGCAATAGTATATTAAAATTGCTATTAGGCCGGGCACAGTGGCTCACACCTGTAATCTCAGCATTTTGGGAGGCAGGGGCAGGAAGATTGCTTGAGCCCAGGAGTTCCAGACCAGCTTTATAAAAATTAATTATAAAAAAAATTAGCCAGGCATCATGGCATGTACCTGTAGTCCTAGCTACTTGGGAGGCTGAGGCAGGAGGATCGCTTGAGCCCAGGAGTTTGAGGTTACAGTGAGCTATGATCAGGCTGCTGCATTCTAGCCTGGGCAACAGAGAGAGACCCTACCTCTAAAAAATTTTTTTTTAAATTATGATAAATATTTACATGGTTTCAAAGTCAAAACAAGTATATTCAGCATGTTTTATCCCTATTTCTTCTCCCTGTTCCTTCTCTTCTATGTTTTTATAAGCTTTTGGTTTATGCTTCCTTTTAAAATTTATGACCAAATATATTTATATGTTTATATTCTTTCCTACCTTTTTTCTTAGACAAAATGTAGTATGCTATCCACACTATTGTGCAACATGCATTTTTCTCTTAACATACCTAAGACATCACTGCATAGTAGTATGTAAGGATTTCTTCATTCCTTATTGCAGTTACATAGTATGCCATTTGTGGATGCGGTTTATGTTATTAAGCCAGTCTCATATTAATGACAATTGAATTATTTCCAGCCTTTTTCTATTGTACACAATTGCCCTGCACAAAAATTATTTAATAATTTTTCACTGCATATTTAGGATAGATTTTTGGAAATAGAATTGCTAGTCCAAAGGGTATATCAGTAAGAATATTTTTGTGAAGGGGAAACTGAATTTCATAAACACTTAGTATGCTTTTAGTTTGTTATATTTATGTAGTTTCCCATCGTTTTGTGCATAGCAAGATTACTGCTAGCTGTCTCATCACTGGAATGCCATCCAGGAATATTCCTCCTACCCACTGTGCCAACTCACCCACATCAGGACATCATTTCAGAATCCACCATAAAACTGTCACGAGGCCATTACAACCAGGATATCAATGACAAATAAGTTAATAAGTGCCATAAATTCAAAGTATGTATGACTAGTCACTAGAAAGAAATTACTAATAAAGAGCTATGATGTTGAAAGAAACTTTTCTAAACTATCCATAATGAAAACACAAATTTTGACCAACTAGTTTAAGGGAAAGACTAAATTATTTTTTGTCTCTGTAGGAAGAATTTTTTTTATCTTTACAAAATTATTGTCTGATGAAGAAATATCAAAGAGTATATAACCAAAAATTGTTATAGATTTTGTGTCCGGCCAAATACTATGCATTTTTCTGGATTTTGTGATGTTTGATAAATTTGTCAGCCTTTTAACATTTGTAATTATTTTACTTTTTTTATTTTAAATAAATATATATTTTCACTTCTAACTTCATATTCATAATTTTTGTATTCTTTTTTAAAATATGGTCACCCAATTGCATTTATTTTAGGCCACATAAAACTGTTCTGTGCTTTTAGTAGAGTGATTGATATATCCTGTGACTTTCAATAATGAACCATCAGAATCCATAGGAACATGTGAGGGGAAAAAAAAAGAAAAAAGTAATGAAAGAATAATTTTAAAAAATTTGAAAAAAAAACTAAAACAAAAAACCAATAATGAACCAGGCAATTAGTGGCCGGGTTCTGGTGGGAAGTGTACTCTTCTCATAGAAGGGTCTGTGAATCATGGTAATGGGTTAGTATATGTAATACTCTGTGGAAATATACCTTTCTTGTGGAGGAGTGTATACTGGGGCAGATAGTAGTAAATGCTTTAGGAAAATAATACAACCTACGAAGTTGCCCTCTAGTTTCCTCCTACATGGAAATTCACTTACCCTTTCCCAAAATAGATTTCCCCAAAGTCCCATTCAATCTTGTCATTGGCTCAAAGTATAGGATTTTTGTGATGTGTTTCCTCAGTTCCAGGTGTGATTCTTTTTTTTTTTTTTGAGACAGAGTCTCACTTTGTTGCCCAGGCTAGAGTGAGTGCCGTGGCGGCAGCCTAGCTCACAGCAACCTCAAACTCCTGGGCTCAAGCGATCCTCCTGCCTCAGCCTCCCGAGTAGCTGGGACTACAGGCATGTGCCACCATGCCCGGCTAATTTTTTCTATATATATTAGTTGGCCAATTAATTTCTTTCTATTTTTATAGTAGAGACGGGGTCTCGCCCTTGCTCAGGCTGGTTTCGAACTCCTGACCTTGAGCAATCCGCCCGCCTAGGCCTCCCAGAGTGCTAGGATTACAGGCGTGAGCCACCGCGCTCGGCCCCCAGGTATGATTCTTGATTAGGAAAACAATGAACAAAAAGAAACACCAGACAATAAACAAACAAAGCAACCCAAAACTACCACCACAAAAAGACAATTTATCTTTTTACCCCTACCTCTCCTCAGCATATTTTGATGGAACAGGGACAGGTGACTTCAATAAATATTCTCATTTGGAAAGTGAAAAGATGGGTGGCACACAGCAGTCACTGGTCCCC